CTGAAAGTTTCAAACTTATGGCCTGCCCCTAACGGCTCTTCCTGCCAGAGCAGTAACTTCTTATTGGCTATTCTACCATCCCATCATCATTCTGAGACTTCCCTAACTGAACCTATATAAGGGTGTGCTTTTCTTTTGATCCCTCTCCTCTTCTCTTCCTCCTCTTCTCTCTCTCCTCTCCTCTCTCTCTCCTCTCCCTCTCCTCTTCTCTTCCTCCTCTTCTCCCTCTCCTCTCCTCTCTCTCTCTTCTCCCTCTCCTCTCCCTCTCTTCTCCCTCTCCTCTCCCTCTCCTCTCTCTTTCCTCTCTCTCCTCTTCTCTCTTCTCTCCTCCCTCCTCCTTGGTGCTGCTCTGCAGCATCCCTCCCTTCCCAATAAAGACCTTTTGTACAAGCAAAAAAAAAAAAAGTGGTATAAATGCAACTGAAATCACTCCCTTGTTTCTTATTCAAAATGCTAGCTCTAGTGCTTCTTTTAGGAGCCACACTAGGGTTACCAGTGTTCTTAAATTTGCAATTTTTTTTAATTTAGCCACTTTGGCTGAGCTAAAAATCTCCTATTAAAATAGACTCTAAAATGTAGAATATTCTTCTAAATAATTAAACTCTTATAGAGTAATTTGAATCAGGTATGTGTGACATTAATTGAGCTCTGGCCCAATTCTAAATTGTCTTCCATTATGTTTCCTGAGTGGTCTTTAGAAAATAGAAATCTTTGCACATATTCTGAGTGAAGGGCACACTTACAACATTGACAAAATGTATAAAAGCAAATTGTGTAACCAAAGTGTATGTAGCCTTGTAATATTCTGAAATTTTAAAAAAGAAAGAAAGAACATAGAAATCTGGTTATATTATTTTACCATTCAAAAGATTTTTTAACCATTTCAAATCAATATCATTTATCTTGGCACCCAAGACCCCAAAAGTCTGGCCCCAAACTACGCTCTGGTTCTAACTTACCCTAAATGTGCTGTAGTGGCCATTCTTGCATCTTGGCTCACTCTGTCTCTTTGAAGAATATCCTTTCTTCTCATGTCAGCCTTTGAAAACCTCACACATTCTTTATGCCCCAGCCCAAATGCCACCTCCTTCATAGGACGTCCTCAATCCCCACCCCAACCCCACTTTCTTTCTATTTTACTTCCCCACTTGGTGTTTCATAGAGCGTCCTATTATTGCTATGGCATTAATTATTCTTTTACTTGTCTTTGCAAATGTTTGGATGCAGTAGTGAATAACACCTAAGGGAAAAGAAAATAGAATTTTGAGCTAACTAGACTTTAGTAAAAACCCTAGCTCTTAGGCAAGTCAATTATTATTTTTTTTAATTTTAGTTTCTGCATCTGTAAAGTGAAGAAAATATTGCCAAGTTTGCATGGATTGGTAGAAGTGAGAATATACAGGTGAAGGCCCCCAATAAGGGGTAACTATTGTTACCCAAATTATTATAATCACCTTCCCTAGTATTTCATTAACAGTATCTTGCATTGTTTTACCCTCCATAGTGTCTTCTGAACTGAATAGAAGCAGTACAAAATGATGGCATCTGCTGCCTGGATCTTACTGAGCTATTAGTTTTTCAACATCTGTTTTGAATTTCAGAAAGAAATTTCCATTTTTAGGCAACAGCAACATTTTCCTGTGGCATTTTGATATGTCTCAATCCTGAAATGATTATAACTTCAGCTTGATTTAATCCAAGTCAGCAAAGCCATAGAGAACAGCCTGGCCAATGAGTACATCTACCTAAGCCTAAGAAACGTTAAATCTCTGTACAAAGAGCCTAAACAAGGAACTCTGTGTGAGCTTTTAATGGCAGTGACCTTTGTTTATATGTACAAATAGCAGCAATAATGGAACTTGGGAAACTCTCAATTATCCATAATACAGAGAGATAGGGAGAGCACAGGTCATAGAAATGCTGATTCACTTTGATGTCAAAAGTGCTGATAACCACACAGGATACATTCACGATATGTTTCTAATGGAAGTTATTTATCCCCCTTTTCTCACTCCCACTTTCCTTATAAAACTCCCCAAATAAGCAGTCATTATGGTCTTCACCAGTGTTTGTATTTTTCCAATGGAAAGTAGAATTTTCTAAGCCACCATGCTTATAAGTCCTCTGCGTCTTGCTTTGTCACCTTCTAATATAAATGTAACATATAGGAAACATTGAGGGGAAATTAGGGGGGGTGAGAAGGGCTCAACTTCCAAAAGAAAATGTACTGGCTGCCAAAAATATGTTAGAAATTCCATAGGAACACAAAATCAACCTTGCTAATTATGAAACATAATTGAGGTTACACTTTATGTGTCAGAAGAAATAGCTCAATTTCCTCTACTGAGATAGAAAATAAAAATCAAGAAAGGGGGACAGAGCTGTCAGGATCTCAGAATTAAAAGAAATCACCTTGCCCTGTTGTATGTATGTGTAGTACAATAATATTTCAGCACCAAGGACAGAGCCTTGTGAGGCTCAATGACCACCCATCCTATATCATTAACAATTTTTTAATATTTTCACTCAAATGTTTATACATTCATCTATGTGTTGTTTTTCTGAGTTCTAGTTACGTGTCAGACCTTGGTATGATATATAAAGACTCACCAGCCAGTTACAGCTCACAAGGTAAAACTGGGGAGGAGATAAGCACGACAGTCAAGTAACACTAGAACAAGTGCTGCCACCAAGTTATGTGCAAGCCATGTGGCAGCCAAGGGAGGGAATGCTTATCCCTGACAGGTGCCAAGGAAGACTTTACAAAGGAGTTGGCATTTGAGCTGGATTTTGTAAAGATTGAGTAAAGTTTTCAAGACAGAAAAGAATTGCCATGAAAGAGTACACAGTGTATTCAGGAATGTCTGGAAAAGAGATTTGATATGACTGAAATGTGGGATGAATGAGAAATAAAGAATAGGCTAGGTCAAATCACCAAGAGCTTATATCCCATGTAAGGGGGTAAAGGCTTTCTTCTAGGGAAACAGAAAGCCATCAAATGGTCTTTCAGCAGGGATGTGATTTGATCAGATTTTTGTTTTAGAGAGATGGTTCAGATAGCAGGAGAAAGAACAGACTAAAACAAAGAAGTGGATGAGAAGAAGGACAGATAAGGATGACATTTCTCCACATGGTCCTGGGAATGAGGACTTGCTCCATTACAATCATAGTTAGACGGGGAGAATTTATTTGGCCTAACTCCAATTAGCTGTTCACCAGTGTTTCACATGTGAATTGTGTCTCTCCAGATTCCTCCAAGAAGATAAAAGATGTCTTGACTGAATTTAATGAGGGTGGGAGCCTCAAACAATATGACCCACATGAGGTAAGAACATTTCCATTTCAAGCCTTAAAAAAATACCCTGTGTTCCAGCCTTCCCATAATTTGTTTTCTTTTTGGAGGTTTAGCTTGCCTTCAAGAACTTGCTTCTCAACATCTTTTTCCCTAAGTCTCAAGTAATCCATCAGTCCTACCCAGCATTATACTTTTCCCAAGTTCATTCACCCCTGCCACTGTCCTAGAAGACTACTACTTCTCCTCTAATCATTTTTCTCACCCCTCCTCCCATCCTCATCTCAGTTAACAAGTGTGTTCTACTTCAAGTTTGTTCTACTTCACTGAGAAAGTAGAAACAATCAGGAAAGAACTTCTACAAGCTGCCTCACCTACCCATGCCTTTTCCACTGTAACTAGGGATGAACTCTCCATGCTCTTATCTAATCCAGATTCTCCACTTATGCATCCAACCCCATCCTCTTTTGGGCTGTTGGCAGGCATTGGTTTAGAACACAGCTCTCCTGCCCATCTCTTTCCCTTCCTCATCCCTCTTTCTCCCTTTGTCTCCTTCACATAAGCTCTCCCCTATATCTTAGGTTTTCCCGTCAACATATAATCATACTGTTAATTCTCCTATATTAAAAAAAACAACTTTTCTTGACACCACTTTTCCTTCCAGCTCCCATCTCATTTCTCTCCTGTCGTCTGTCTATACTGTATAAGATTTGTCTATACTCATTGCCTCCAAGTTCTCTTCTTCATACATTCTTGAAATTCTTCAATGAATGTGTAACTCCCCTCCTCTACTAAAACCAGTAGTGAAGACCAAACCCCTTCATGTGGCTAAACCAAATAGCAATTTTGCTCTATGCCATTGGGTGTGGTTGGTCAATCCTGTTTGATTTTCTTCACTTGGTTTCTGGCCACTAAACTCTCCTGGTTTTCCTCTTTCCCCTACTTGACATTTCCACTTAAAAATCAAATAGGCATCTCAGGTTTACTGTGAACAAACTGATGTCCTTGATCTTTCCTTGTACAACCTGTTTTTCCAGCAGTCTTCCCCATTGCAATAAATGACAACTGCACTCTTCAAGTCATTCAACCTAAAGTTATGGAGTCCTCCTTGCCTTTTCTCTTTTTCTCATATTCTACATCAAATTCATTGCCAAATTCTGTCACTTCTACCTTCAAAATATATCCAAAATGTAGGCACATCTCACCACCTGTGCTGTTACCATCCTGGCCTGAGTCATCACCACATTTTGCCCAGATTATTTCAAGAGTCTTCTAACTGAGCTCTCTGCTTCTGCCCTTGCCCTTTAAATCTGTTCCTCACACATATCCTGAGCAATCTGTTAAAACTTATGTCAGAGCTTGTCACTACTCCACTTGACAGTCCCCCTATGGTTCCCCCCACCTCCTACTCAGAGTAAAAGTCAAGGTCATTATAGTCTGCACCTCCTCTACTTTCCAGTGCTGTCTCTTGTTACTCTACCCCTCTTCATTCTTTTCCAGTCATATTAGCCCTCTCAGTGCTATCATATAAGCCATGTCACAGCAATTTCAGCACCACTGTACCTACTGTTACCTCTTCTTGGAACATTCCTCCCTGGCATATCCTAGTTCTCTGTTCTCTCACCTCCTCCAAGTCTATACCCAAATCACCTTCTCAGTGATTATCACCTTCTTTATCTAGCCTTGAAGCCCTCTTACCTGATTCTTCCTATCCCTCTCTCTCTTTCTTTCCTCATTAGCACTTCTCACCAGCTGTCGCACTATATAATTTACTTAATTAACTGTCTGTTTTTCCCACTACAATAGTTTTGTTCACTGCTGTGTCTCCAGTGCCCAGAAGACTATCTGGTTTATAGAAGCAATTCAATAAATAATTGCTAAATAAATAAATGAATACAAGACCTCCTCCCACTTTCATATTCAACTCACTTAACATTATTTGGCACTAGAATACCTAGGCACTGGTCTGGGCATTGTAGAAGGTGAAGAAGAAGAATTCTTGGCCTCCAAGACATACTTCCAACTGGTAGGTTCAAGTTTATGACCCTGGAATTCCATAGTCTTAGATGAGTTCATCTACCACTGTCATCACCCAACAATATGGCCTGGATTATTTTGCCTCTTTGGCCTTCACTTTCCTCATCTGTGAACTGAAGATAACAAAATAATAAAAACCTTGAAGTTTGTGGGAGAACTTTTACAAAGTGTCTAACACTCTATAGGGCACTTTAAAAATGGTGCCCATTACTATAAATCTTCTATACCTTTTCCCTAGGATATGTTATGCTCAACTCCCTTTTCCTTACTCCTGGGTCCTTTTATGAAGGCTAATTGCAGAAAAGTGACTGATCAGCAGGACTAATTTAAGGAGAGGCCAGTCACTTACTTATTCACATTGTCATTGTCCATTCAACAAACCTGAGAAAATGCCTTCTCTGCTGGACGCTAGGAATGAATCAACAGAGCTTGTGCCCTCAAGGTACACCTGAGAGGGACTTTGGATAAAATGCACCAATCACTGAGAGAATGAAACAGGAGGGAGAATGGAACAGGAGTATGTTGAGAAGGCACCATTTCAAAGAACATTCCTGAGGAGAAGCCATGCAGAGGAGATGGCAAAGCCAGCCAGAACTCACTGCCCCACACCTGCCACCTCCAGCTCCAAATACATGGGAACAAAACCTAGCGGGGCTGCTAATCATCCTGTCCGCCCTGGGGCTGATGAGTGGGAGGAGAACAATTTGGTCAGAGCCACCGCTGGTGTGAAGGGCATAGGAGCTTTCAGGAGGGAGCAGCTTGGATGGCAGGAGCACATGGCCGCCCTCGCCTCTGTCAGGGCTGGCCCCCAGTTTTTGTATGCCTAACACTGCTGTGTCCCGGGGGAGCTCTGTCATTCTGACTTTGTTCTCGCACACAGTGCAGCTGACTTCTAGTAGGTGTAATGTCACAGCACAGGGATAGAGAAACAGACTTTAATTTCTCTTGAGCTTGATGGCTGACTACTGCTAAAATGTCTCAATGAGAAACAAGTTAGCCGTGGGAAGGGGCAGATTTCTAGAAAAGCTAGGGTGAGAATAAAAGTTTGCAGAATAAGGGGACTGCATCTGGCCATGCTCTTGCCTGACACCACCAAGAGACTCTCTTGAGAAAAGAGCAGTGAAAGGCAGCTAGAGCAGAAGCCAGCAGAGCAGAAGAGGCAGGTGGCGTGGCAGTGCTGTGAGCCTGGACTCAGATATACCAGAGCACAAAGCCCAGCCCTGGCACATGCTTTATGATCTTGAGAGTTTGTTTTGTCCCCAAAATGACAGTTATAGTCCCCTTCACAGTGCTGTCATGAAAATAAAGCACTGAGGTATGGTATGCTCACCGTCTAGTTTCCTCCCTTCTTGACCTATGTAAGAATTAGCACAGTCTCTTTAAGTGGGTTATAGCAGCAGCAGCTGCCCGGCTAATTCCCACATGAAGCTGCTGTGGGGACAACAGTGTTCCTTTGGGCTGAACTACAAAGTTTCCTGTGATGTTCCTCCAGGGTTCAGAGAATTTCCAGGGCGCCTCATGGAGGTTGGTTTTCTGCTTTGGGTATGATACCCAGCCACTCCTACCCAGTCATCCATCACACCTTTACTCAGCAGCTACTCTGATCCTGGCCTGTGCTCGTAAAGAACTTTTTGTAACCCAGATGTCATGTTGAGAGTGGCATACAGTCACATTTCTTTACTTGTTGAACTTGGGGTGCTTGGAGGAGGTGGCCAGGAGCATTACACTGGCTCTGGGCCCTGGGACAGACATGATAGTAGGAGCTCTGGGCTCTGATTTTTGGTTTATTCTGCTGCTAGCTCGCTGGGGTAACTCACTGAATCTCCTGAGCCACAATGGCATAAGGAGACCCAGTCTCCTCTGAGACTCCTCTGATTTGAATGCTCTATGTTTCTGGGTTTATTCTGTGCCATCCCATTCTCCAGGACAGGGACATGCATAGTTGGACATGAATTTCATTGTCATTATTTTCTAAGTTGCCGTAACAGTTTGTTGATTCTTTTCCTGTGGCATTGGCTCCTAGTGACTACAGGTGTAATTATTTCAATGCCTTTTTTTCTTTCCACTGAGTCTCTTAAGGAATAGACCCATGTCTAATTCATTGGTGTGTTCTCCATTGTGCCTGCACTTAGGAGGCTCAGTATATACATAAATGTGTGTGTGACAACATAGATCCCATAATAATCAAAGACAGCCAGGGGCTGACACCAGGACATTCCTGAGGTGATCCAGTTAGGAACCCATTATCCATTCAAATACCTCGGCAGAAACACTGTGGTAGGGGCATAGGTGACACAAAGAAGAAATAAGACATTCTCACTACCTTCCAGGAGCAACAGATCTAGTAGAGGAAGTAAGATACATCACAAACAGCTATATATTAACACAGACTGGCAGATACAAGTGTCACAAGTCAGGAACCAAGGTGCAAAGTATAGAAATTCAAGTACAGGAGATCATATCAGGCTTCCTGGAAGAGTTGGTACCTCTGTGGGGTCTTAAAGCATGGCTGGAATTGTAACAGGTAGAGTAGGAAGCAGTTTGTACAGAGTAAAGTACTTGGAGGTTTGGTTATGAAAGAACACAGAGATTAGTGTGGACAGGTGCACATGGGGGATAATAGGAGAAAATACCAGAATTATCTTAGAACTTGAAGTAGCTACAAAATGTTGCAGTACAATTAGCAAGGTTGTGAATCCCAAAGGTCTCAGAATACAGGATGGGCCATTAGACTGTAGAAACACTACATATTAGACCTTCTATTTGCATTCATTTTTTTCTTACCTAATTTCCATTTTCTGATTTTTTGCATACATTTTACAATATATAGTAGTACATTGACTGGTCTCCACTCCCCCATGGCAATTAGAAGCCATGGAAAGTTTTGAATAAGGGAACCAACCTTATCAGAGTTGTGCTTTGGAAAGATTAATCTGGCAAAGAGAAATAAGTTAAATGAGAGGACCAGCAGATAGAAGTGGGGCAGAGAAGCATTGGAGAGGTATCAAAATGGTCCAGGTGAGATGTGTGACACAGAAGTCACATGAGAGATCTTCTAGTCCAGCATTCCACAATTTGCTAAAGAAACTGAGATCCCAAAAAATGGGGGAAATATAGTTGATCTGAAGCCAGTCACATGGTCACCCAGGTCTCACCCTCATCTTGTTCAATAATCTTTTGGCTTTGATTTTTTTTTTAATTGTTGGAGATTGATTGAGGGCACAAGAAACCAGGTTACACTGGTCCATTTGTTAGGTAAAGACCCTCTTACACTCCTGTCTTGCCCCTTTAAGGTGTGGCACATACCAAGAGGCTTTGATTTTTTTTACAGCATTATGTTAGTTTGTTTAATTTAACTTTCTTTTTATTATATCAGTGTCTTCTGAACTGATTATATCAGTTTGTTTTCCAGGAATATTTTACTCTGACAGCTTTCATATGATAGCTAACCAAAAGAGATTTTGGAATTCAAAACTACATTTTAAAACATACTTGTCAACCTTCTCTGAAGAAGACAAACAGATGGCCAACAAACACATGAAAAAATGCTCGTCATTCCTGATCATCAGAGAAATGCAAATCAAAAACCACCTTCAGATATCACTTAACCCCAGTGAGAATAGCCCACATCACAAAGTCCCAAAACTGCAGATCCTGGCATAGTTGTAGAGAGAAGGGAACACTTTTACACGGTTCATGGGATTGCAAACTAATACAGCCTCTTTGGAAAGAAGTATGGAGAATCCTCAAAGAGCTAGAGGTAGACTCTTCATATGACCCTGCAATCCCTTTACTTAGTATCTAACCAGAAGAGAAAAAAATCATTTAGCATAAGGACATTTGCACTAGAATGTTACTGCAGCTCAATTCACAATCACAAGATGTAGAAATCAATCTAAGTGCCCATCAACCCATGAATGGATTAGTAAACTGTGGCATACCACATACATATACCACATGTATACCATGGAATACTCTGCATCCATAAAAAAGATGGAAACTTTACACCTTTTGTATTATCCTGGACAAAGTTGGAGAACATTCTCTTTAGTAAAGTATCGTAAGAATGTAAAAGCAAGTTTCCGATGTAGTCAATACTAATACGAAACCAGTAGATCAGTGGTTCTCAACCTTCCTAATGCTGCGACCCTTTCATACAGTTCCTCATGTTGTGGTGACCTCTAACCATAAAATTATTTTTGTTGCTACTTACAGAGATTAGAGTGGGCAGGTGCACATTGGGGATAATAGGAGAAAATACCAGAATTGTCTTGTCTTGTCGTTGCTACTTAGCAATGAAAATAATTTTATGGTTGGGAGCCACCACAACATGAGGAAATGTATTAAAGGGTCGTGGCATTAGGAAGGTTGAGAACCACTGCAGTAGATGAATGACTACATGCCCACATGAGAGAAAATTATTAAAATCAAGTGAGGGAAAGGGAGAGGGGAAGGAGGAGGGGGATTGGCCAGCTCTCACCTAACACACAGTGTAACGGTATTTGGCACACCTCCTGGGTGAAGGACTCAACTACAACTTGGACTCTGTCTAACAAATGCAACTAAAGTAACCTAATAGTTTATACCCTCATATCAATCTGAAAAAAAAAAAAATAAAGTGCTAGGTTTAGTTAAGAAATAATTAAATCTTTTTCTTACTCCTCCAAAGAAAAAAATAAAAGAATACTTGTCAATTAAAATGGTACAAAAAGACAATGCAAAAAGAGCTTTTTGAAATAAATTAATGAATAGCAATGCTATTAGCAAATATCCAGTTAAATCAAAGTATCGAATGAAGAGAACTAACTCCATGGAAAATAGAGAGCTTGTGAAAGAAGAGAGGATGAAATACTGCAGAGAAGCCACAGATGAGAAAAATCTCAGGTGATAAATTTTGTGACCATCAAGAGAGCAGTTCAAAGGTAATGAATGGGCTAAAACGCTAACTGAGTGGGATTAGGGAGAGGAGGCGGCTAACCTGGTCTGTGAGGAGAAATTTGAAGAGAAGAAGGATGGACCAGCAACTCTAGCAGACCGCAGTTCCTTTGGGATGGTGGCAGTAGAGCGGGGGTCCTCAAACTTTTTAAAGAGGGAGCCAGTTCATTGTCCCTGAGACCGTTGGAGGGACGGACTGTGGGCCCCAGGACGAGTTGGCTGCTAAGCAGGACAGGAAGCGGTGGCAAAAACACCCAGTGGGCCAGATAAACGTCCTCGGCGGGCCGCATGTAGCTTGCAGGCCGTAGTTTGAGGATGCCTGACGTGCAGCGTGCTGGCAGGTAGAAGAGAGTCAAATGCCAGCAGGTGTGCTCTGAGCCAGAGAGGGTAGACTCAAGACTCACAGTAGGCGGGCTGCACTTGGAAAGGAGGAGGGAAAGCTTTTGTTCTTGCGTACTGGGAAGATGGAGGATTTGTGAGGGAGGGACATTCTGAGCAGATGATGCTGTGCAGACAGAGAGAGACAGAAAGAGTACGAAACAGACACAGAGACTCGGGGACAGAAAAAAGACAGAGAGAAATGAATCGCTGCCATGGGATTTGTGAGTCCACTGTTTTCACAGAGTTCCTTTCATCCGGTGAGAGCCTCTGTCCACCTGAATCAGGCTTCATCCACTCTGCAAAGAATATGTATAGTACAGCCCAGCCTGGTGCTAAAAGAAATTGCTTTGTGAGCTTCCAGTGGGGTGGGGAGGGCATCACTTTCTTGTAGGGCCAAGACTTTGAACGCAAATTTGATTATACACATGCAAGCCAGCTTCTGGTTCTGGAAAGGATCCCAGATCTCCCAGAACAGACAAAGGGTTAAATGCTACCAACATTTTGATGGGAGCACCAAATAGTCCCTCCAGAAAAGAGATTTTAACCCCACAGCTATCATTCACAGAAGCCTGCTCAGCAGATCTGAGTAGCGCTTCCTCGCCTGGTTTCCAGGAGCATCTGCCGAGGGGATGAAGAATCCCATGCCATCCAAGCACAAGCCAGTGATGACTCACCGCAACTGTTGTTGAGTGTTTGCTGAGAGCAGCAGCCCTTTCTGGCAGGGATGTTCCCAGCCTGGGACCAGCAGCCAGGCGAGGCTGGGAGAGACACAGCAGGAAGAGGGTCTAGTTTTTGGCGTGTCTATTAGTTCTCTACCTTCTGTCCTTGGCTTCCTGCTCTTCTCCTGGTGCCTAAAACCTTCACAAGGACATGTTTTGGGAAGCGTTTGAGCCAGACACTTCATCCCCCTGTTACCTTGGCATTTGTCCAGGGAAGATCAGGATTATGAAAGTAAAGAAGGGTGGAGCCTGATCTTTCTCTTCCAGGCTTTTCCTATTTCCTAAGACCTGAAAACCCAGGAATCACAGAGTGGAAAAGGAAAAGCAAGATAGCACAGAAGAACCATTTCTTTCCATCGTGTTTTCAACAGCATCCATCTCAACTGGATTCCAGGACGTAGATGCCGTCCCTGCTCACTGGGGCCGCATCATTCATGAGGGCCAGGACCCTCTGCTTCCAGCACTTGCTCCTCCTTACTGCTTTCATTATCTAAACTCAGACCACATTTATCACAAAGTCCTGCTGTGGTTCTGGGCCCTGCTATGCTCCAACATGCATCCACCAGCATCCACCTTCTCTGCTTCCCATCCTTGTCCCTGTCTGTCACTGTCTGTCACCTCCCTGGCTTTTTCACTTCTTCTCCCATCACCTCCTCTTCTTCCCTTCCCGTTTCTCTCACCCACCATCTCCTCAACCCCTTTTTCTTCTCTCCCTCCTCTCTGGACCTTCACCTCTCGTCACTAACTTTGCCCTTTTTGCCCCTTCTCAGCCGATTAGCTATGATGTCTTCAAGCTGTTCATGAGGGCGTACCTGGAGGTGGACCTTCCTCAGCCACTGAGCACTCACCTCTTCCTGGCCTTCAGCCAGAAACCCAGACAGGAGACCCCTGATTGCCCAAAGGAGGGAGCCAGCAGCAGCGAGGTCACTGGCCCAGGTACACGGACAGCCATCCCCAAGAGGGGAGGACATTGTGAGCTATCCTGTGCAGGCACAGGCTGCATCCCAGAGTGTCCCCTGAGTACAGTGGCTTCCCTATGGAGTGAGAATGGGGACCAAGGGACCAGGACTCCTCTCCTCATAGGGCCTTATGGGAAGCCCTGTCTGATAAGTCTCTCAGGGGAAGGAATAAAGATGGCACATAATTCCTGCCACTCAGGATCAGAGAGTAGGATGGGGGAAGAAGGGATACAACTATGTAGGGGAGGGGGATGAGGCCTTCAGCAAAAGCTGCTGGTCTGTGGGAGCACAGTCAGCTTGTGTGTGCAGTGGGACTAGCCTGGGAGTGTCAGGAAGGGGAAGCCGTGGGCACCAACTTCCTGGAGCTTCGGCTATAGTGGGGAGACACAGTCAATCCCAATAAATGAGCATGGACCCAGGTGACAGTAACTTATACACAGTAACCTAGGGAACAAGGTCACATGACGAGGTTCCCTACCTGGAGGGGATGGGCTGGTCATTAAATCTTTTTGTGCCCCAGATCCTAATACGCAGAGTGTGGATAATGCTGCCAAAGCAGATGAGGCCTGTGCCCCTGACACTGGTGAGTCTTTGGGACAGAGGATTTGGGAGAGAAGTGGGGGACACCTCATCCTTGGGGAGGATTGGACATACCTAACTAACAGTTTGTCTCCATGTAATTCTGAACCCTCGGTGCAGATGTCGTCCTGCTGTGACCTTCAGAGCTTCTCTCTCTGGGGCTCCTGTCACTCAAAGGTTCTGGGATTCTGAGGCTGGGTTTATCTTCACTTACCCTGGAACAGGGCAGGTCAGGACTAGAAACAGCTGTGTTTACCTCTGGGTCTGCCTGCCCAGGAAATAGGCAGTCTTCTCAGGAGAAGAGGGGTGTGTGTGTGTGTGTGTGTGTGTGTGTGTGAGTGACAGAGAGAGAGAATATGAAGAGGCAGTACCGGGGCTGAGGTACAAATGATCCCCAACCAGTGGATGGCTAGAGAGGGACAAGGCAAGATGCTAAGAACATGCTCTGATTGACTTCCAACAACATATTCGTAACACTATTTTGTATTGTTTGGAGAGCTGCTACTAAGTTAGCAAGGGCAAGCCAGCTACAATTGTTTTAAAGAACTGTTTGCCAGGCACCTTTTTATTATATCTCCCATTTAACCTTCACAGTCACACCATTTTACATGTGAGGACTGAGGCTTTAAGACCTGTGGAGCTGAGCTTTCAATCCAGAAATGTCCAACTTCTAAGCTCCTGCTTTCTCTCCTACTCCAAGAGAGTCATCTTGAGATGCCTGGTGCTTTGGTTAGTTCCTGGTGGAATGAACAAGCTACACTCTCAGTAGGGCTGCTACTGTCCCTAGGCCACTCCTGGGCTGTGACAGGTGTAAGATCCTCCCTGGCACATTTGTCAATGAGGAGTCATTCTTCAGTGCTGCTGACCGAGGCCCTGACCCAAGGCCAGATGCTCTCAAGAAGACTAGAAGCAACAAAGGTCACCATACTTGATTGGACATTGCTCTCATGCCCAATTAAAATTTCCTGTCACTATCAACCCAAGCTGGGTCAGGAACTAGAGTAGGCTGGTTAAGCATCTAGAACTCACAGCCAGACTGCAGGTGTGGCTCCCAGCTCTGACACCACCTAGTTCTGTAACTGTGGGCATGTTTGAACAATGTCTCTGTGCCTCAGTGTCCCCGTCTGGAATGAGAGATGACAAGTGTTGTTATGAAGGTTAAGTGAATTAGATGTATAAATGCTTAGAACAGTGACTGACTGGCACATAGTAAATATCCAATAAATACTGGCGATTGTCATTCAAGCCACCCTCTGGAAGAGCCCTCTAGTCTTAACTCACCATGGTCTGCCATCACCTCCTTCAGTCTGCACCCCCGTCTCCAAGATGTCAGGTGGGTGTCCTGTTCTCATGGAAGGTCTGTCACAGCTCTCTTTCTATCAGGTTGCTCTTTAAGTTTCAAATGCAAAGACTCAGAGAGTCACCCCTGTTTTACCGGCATTATCATTTGATTGAAAAGATTTACAGATACACAAAGGTGAATTCCAGCTGTTGGAATGTACTCAATGGATAAAAAATTCAGCTTTAGTATATTTTTGAAATCTACATAAAACACGATCAACAATAGATGCTACAACTGAAAGAAAAGAGGAACTAATTATAACAGGGACCTAGGATGAGAGAACTTCTTCAAGTGGACGCTGGATGAACATCTAATCTTTTCTCCAGTCAAGGGAAACTAGGAGGATTATAGAAGGACTAGTGAGGTTAATGGAAAGCACAGCATGGTCAACAAATTCCAGGAGATGTGGAGCTCCAGAAAGCAAGGATTGAGAGAACACAGTCCATGCCTTCCTGGCACCTTCAGAGATAGCAATAGGAAAAGACTCTACAGAAGTGTAGGGTCACCCAAGCCCTGCCCAGCACCCCACCCAGTCACACTAAATCCACAGCCCCTTGGTGAAATGGATGTAAGGCATAAGTAAGTCTCACGTCTTATATGAATAGAGGAGGCATATTCTGACATAAATCATTCTCATGGTAGGAAGGAAAGAGTGAAACTAGGAGCTTTGAGATTTTAAAATCTCATCAAGAAAACGCATGGTGAAAAGCATCGTGCCCAAATTCTTTACCCAGAGACTTTCTTAGTTCAAGTAGTTGGAACTTTCTTAGTCCAAGTAAGAACATGGAAAAAGTCACATTTCATTCCTTGAGGTGTTAAATGGTTTGTTTCAGTGGCTGAAGTTTCTAAAATACCAAAGAAGAACTTATATTTGAGAAAGATGATCAGTGGCAGTAATGAGAGTTAGCTGACTTCCTTGACCACCATGCATATTTGCAATAGCTGTAGCAGTCTTAGTCTAAAAGAGAAACTTCCAGAGCTCCCCTCCCAAAGTGATTTGTGATACACCATTTCCCTTGTGTATGTGAAAAATCACCTGCAATTATCTGAAAGGGCAATTATCTGACTCTCGGCCTAGGGAGGCGTACAGCATTTTTCATCTTCTTTTGAGCTTGAGATGTAAAGGAGAAAATCCTTTTCCTGCTAGGTCCCCTTCCATGGATGTCTTAATTAGATGTCCCTGTTCACCAGAAACAAGAATATAGGGCCAGGTGGACATCACAGAGAGGGGTCTCTGCCAGTAAGGAAAGCCAAGTTCTGGCTTACAAACAGACCATCTGTTGAAAATTCCAACCCTTTCCTGTTGCCCAAGCAAAGCCAGAGAAAGAAACTAGAGTCTTATCTGATATGGCCTATTGGATCAGTCTCCAAGCTCAGGTCTATCATAACCCACTTCAAATTATTCATACCCAGAGCCAGATGTGTACACCCTTGTATATTGAAAGGTTTTGACAGAGTGCAGAGGTTAGCTGAGAACCCCACGCAGTCTGTCATTTTGGGGATGTCAGCTCAGGAAAGGCTGAGTCCACCCTTCCCTTCATGAAGGCTCAGGACCACTTGGGATGAATAAGGAGGACTTCAGCCCCCTGGTCTTTAGTTAGTCTCTTAGGCTATTGAGTTATTTCTGCAACCCAGAATCTTGGAGTCTCAAGGAAAGTCCCTCAATATTATTGTTCCCAAGTATAAAAGTAATATACTCACAAAAAAGAAAGAAACAACAAAGATCAGTGGTTGTCAGGGGCTGAGGAAAGGAGGAATGAATGGACAAAGCACAGAGGAATTTTAGGGCAGAGAAACTACCCTCTATGACTTTTTTTATTAAATCATAGCTGTGTACATTAATGCAATCATGGGGTACAATGTGCTGGTTCTTATATGATATTTTAATGATGGCTACACATCACTGTGCATTTGCCCAAACCCATAGAATGTGCAAACCAAGAGTGGACACAAATGTAAACTGTAGACCTTGGGTGACAAGGATGTGTCAATGAAAGGTCATCAGTTGTAACAAATGTACCATTCTGGCAGGAGGATGTTGATGCCTGGTAGGCTAGTGTGTGTACAGACAGCAGCCTAAGTCAGAAATCTCTGCACCTTCCTCTAGTTTTGCTGTGAATCTAAAACTGCCCTAAAAATTTGTCTTAAGAAAAGAATTAATTCTCTAATTGTTAATGGTATACAATGGGTATTTGTATATTGAACTTAAAAAAAAAAGAGAGAGAGTAACCTAAAAAAAATAGAACTATTATTAAAGCAAATGGAATTTTTCATTTGGCAGGCTTTGACTCAGGAAATAATTAGTTTCTTTATGTGATATTAGATTGAGTTTCTATTTTTAAAGAATACCTTACCTCAACATTTGAAAGAATGAAGGCTCTTTACCTAAATCAATAACAAACACATATAGATAATAAGCATCATGATTATTGCATGTAAGGGAAGAAAACTAACAATCATTAAGCGTATGTTTTGTGCCAAGTTTTTAATTTAATTTTTTTGCACAATTTAATGCAACTTAATAATCTAGGGATGTAAATTTGAATATTTTTTATATAAGTGGCCAACAAACTCAGAGAGCTTAAGGAATTTGACCAAAGATACTTAATTGATCAAAAATGGAAATGGCATTTGCCAACATATACCGGACCTAATAGATGTTAGCAGCTGAAATAGCAAAGGTATGTGTGTGGTAACATCTTAGAGAAGCTTTTTCTTCATAACTGAAATACTCTTCCCATCTACTCTCCATTCCAGAAGCTTCTGTCCCCTCAAGCTTTTCATTACCCCATCTTCCCTGATCTTTCCCATCTTCCCTGATCTTTCCATTAATTTGCCTAGACCCCAAAATTCAAACTAAAAAGGTTGGTATACAGATGATTTAAGTTGCTTAAACTAAATATAGTAGCATTTCTATTTTAAAACAAATCTGTTACCTCCAATGCAATTCTAATTAATTAATAAACTACTTTTAACTTGGAAACTGTGTTTTTTGCTATTTCCAGCACCTTGCTTCTGAGATTTCCATATAAAATAGCTTTTTCTTAAGACATTAACTATTGGATAATTATTAACTTGCACATATTTTTTTAAAAATAGATATCTGAAGATAAATACTACCAAATAGATCACTAAGGTCACTTCTAGATCATTTTTAAAGCAACCAATGCTCCATAATACAAGGTACAACCCAACACGTTAACTTTTTGATTGAAAAAACCAAGGCTAAGTCCACCCTTCCCTTCATGGAGGCTCAGGGGAGGACTTCAGGAGCCCCAATTGGGATGAACAAGGAGGACTTCAGCCCCCTGGTCTTTAGTTAGTCTCTTAGGCTATTAAGATATTTCTGTAACCCAGAATCTTGGAGTCTCAAGGAAAGTCCCTCAATATTTTTTAACAGTTATTCCCAAGTATAAAAGTAATATACTCACAAAAAAGAAAGAAAGAAACGACAAAGATCAACAACAAAAATCAGTGGTTGTCAGGGGCTGAGGGAAGGAGGAATGAATGGACAGAGCACAGAGGAATTTTAGGGCAGAGAAAGCTGTTTTAAATTACTTCTCAAACTAATATTGGCCTCCTCTCCCAGATTTAAGAAAAAACAATCCTTAATTCACCTTGAACTCAGTTATCACATTTTGAACAAATGGTCTTTGCTTCAGTGTTTAAATTATCAACTTGGAAAGTTATCAAAGCAAACATGTAAGTTTGTTTTCTTCTTTTGAATTTGGTAATTGATTACATAAATATAAATTCTTTCATCTTTGAGAGGGTTTTCTTGAGAAATATTTTAAATCCAAAGTGTAAAAGTCACCTAATGTCACCACCTCTCTTTAAAGCCCTCTTCCCTGTCTCCATCCCCATTTACCCGGAGATCACTGTTGTTGGGAAGTGGGTACATATCCTTTCCAAATATTTTCCATGTCTATACAGATACCATGTACACAGGGGTCAGTTTATATTTATAAAAATATAACTAGAATTAAAAAAAGAAAAAGAAAGGAAACAGAATAAATCACTTATAATCCCACCAATGCAATTACTTGTGTGTGTGTCAAATTTTCTTGTAAGTTTTTTTCTATAAATTTTTTACAGAATTGAGATAAAACTGTACTGTATGTATCATTTGGGATCCAGCTTTGTTTTTCACTTAACATGGTATTCACAAATATTTCTGTCATTCAGGACTTGGGGTGAACATCAGTTTTAATGCAATCCCTTATTATAATAGAGGAGAAAACTGAAACTGGGTGAGGGCAGTGTGCCTATTGGTGCAAGAGCACACTATTTCATGCAAACCCAATGCTAAAATCCCAGCCTTGCCTTCTGCCATTGGCCTGGTATGGTCTGGGTTGGATTTTAGAGTAATGCTGGCCTCACAAAATTGGTTGGGTAGGATAGCCTCCTCTTAAGTCTTCTGAAGGAGTTTGTGTGTAATACATATTATCCCTTCATTAAATGGTGAGTGTTAGATATTTTTGCATACCTACAGATATTCTTGAGTTTTGTTTAGAGGTACAATTAGGTTATTTGGAAAAGTCTGATCTTTGGGGGTCTGTCTTTTAAATTTCATGGGGCAGGACCAGAGAAGCATTTACTCTAGGGCCAATTTTGCCTCACTTCTGAGGCAAAACTCAGCAAAGTACTCTCCCAGTGATTCGTGAATTATGAGGATGTTCTATTCTGATGGGTGGGAATAGGCATTACT